AAAAAAAAAAAAAAAAAAAAAAAAAAAAAAAAAAGTTCATGGAAGGATGCATGTTATCTTTTAACTCCATTTTTCCATGAACTTTTTGAAAAGCTTGCGAATATTTTGTATAGTTTCAGTGATGATGTTACATTTCTAGTGAAATTTTGTGAATCATGAAAACAATATTTTTTTCCTCATGTGTCTTAGTGTGTTTTATGCTGCTATAACAATATCACAGGCTGGGTAATTTATAATGAATACAAATTTATTTGGCTCGTGGTTCTGGAAGCTGAGAAGTCCAAGATTGAGGAGTTACATCTTATGAGGGCCTCTTGCTACATCATAACATGGTAGAAAGCATCACCAGGGTAAGAGAGAGCAAGAGATTGAAATTGCGGCTTCAAGCCTTCTTATAACTGGCATTAATCACTTCATGAGCGTGGAGTCTTCATGACCTAAATACCTCCCATCAGGCTCCTCCTCCCAACACTGTTGTACTGGGGTTTAAATTTCCAGCAGTGCTTTTGCGGGGACACATTCAAACCATAAATTTAATGCACATAGTTTTATTCATAGTGTAAACACACTTTTATGTCTTGTTATTTGTTTATTAGCATTTCTACTTGTTGCATCATAGTTTTGATAATCATTTATAGGGCCGTATAATTTGGATGAAATATTTATTAAAATTTATTTGTAGGATTATCTTTAATAATTATTATTAATAGGGACTGATATCTTAATTACAGGTAAGTTACAAGTTTTATAGTTTGTAGAGTTGGGAGAATGTTTATGGTCTAAATATTCAGTTGTTGAAATTAATAATCTCACCTAACAAACTTTATTTTGCTTTTTGTTTTAGTTGGATTCATAGTACTAAGCATACAATTTTATCTTCTCTGGCTTATGGAGAAATGCTTTTAAGTGAATTGATAACTAATGATTAATGCTTTCATTTTTAAGGAGAACCTACGTTCTTTCACAAAAGATGCTCATGCTTTAATTTATAAAGATCTTCCATTTGAAACTCTGGAAGTTGAAGAAAAAGTGGCATTAGAAATATTTCAACACAATAAGTAAGTTTTGGCTTCCTTTAGAGCAAATTAAACTTCCCAAAATAAGATGTAATGAAGAAAATCCGGCTCTTAAGAATTTTTATATTTAATGTACATATTGATACCATTTTATTTTCTGCTATAAGATCTCTTTTTCTGCACCAGCCTATTTACTTTTGTTCATCTCTTTGTTTATTTCACTGAGAAAAATGTTCCCCAACCCCCTTGGTAATTTTCTCACTTTGTTTTACTTCTCATAGGCCAGCCCTTCTCTTTATATCAACATAGTGGTATGTTTCCCCTTTTTCTTTCCCCTGTGAAGTGATAACATACGTTAAGTAACCATTTTGTGCACTTGGCAGCCTTCTCTTCCCATCCTCTTTAAATGAAAAGGATAAGATTGGAAATGCAAGCAGTTTGGAAGGGAGCTAACAGCTGAAGTAAAATGTTTATACAGGCAGGTCTCAGTCTTCCACATGTGAATTATCTGTTTGATGGATTTTCTTTGTTAACATTTAAAATGCTTCCAGGTTTCTCAATTCCATTTCTCACCCAGAAAACTTCCAGTTCACCTTCTCCTAGTTGTAAGAACATACACCAAATTTTAATATTAATCTAACAGAAAATTAGAACTAATTAGAGAGAGAAATCTGTGCTACAGAAAAATAGCATAGGTACTATATAGTCTGAAGCCAAAATATGCACCTGCAGATTGTTAAAGTTTACAGATTAGAATTCAGATCACAAATTCTCATAGGATAGTTTACCGTAGATATATTTTTGGGGTAGTTCAGTAGAGTCTCCTCAACTCGTACTCCAGCTTGGCATTTCTCAAAGCCTCATAATATTTTCCATAAGAAATTAATTGATATGCTGAAAAATGAGTACCGTGTTCAACTGAGTTTGAAGAACAGTGACATAAAAAAATGTATTGATTGCTCTCTAGGGTGTCCCAAAGTGGATATAGAAAACTGTATTTTCCAAATGTATTAGCCCATTTTTAGCATATCCTGCAATCCAAGTACTTAGAAAGCAGTAGTAATATACTATTTTACCTTAACTAGAGTATAGATAGTACTGTAGAACAAAACCACTGTTTATAGCATTGATTCTATAAGAAAATTCCTTAGATTACCAGAACATATCAAGTCAACCTTTGTGTCAAAAGTCAATCACACATACTGTCCAATAGAAATATAATATGAGCCATCTATATAATTTAAAATTTTCTAGTAGCTACATTAAAAAAAATCAAAAGAAAAGGTGCAGTTTAATCGAATTTATCTAAAATGTTATTTTAACATGTAAGCAATAATAAAAACTTATGATTTTATCATTAAATATTTTTTGTTTAATGATATTTTATATCATTTTTCATAATAAGTCTTGAGAATCTGGTGTGTATTTTACATTTGAGGCATCTTTTAATCAGGAATAATCTGTAGCTCTATTATTGGACAGTGTACTTTTGACTTCCATTCTGTGTACATTGATATTTCCCTTTCCCCCATTTAACTGTCAAAGTCTGGTAGGGGCTTCTGGGACCTAGTAACTTAGTTGAGTGTGTGATGGGAGGAAGGGGATAGTTTTGGGACAAATTTGAGAGGACAGAGAGTGTTGGATTATTGAAGGTGGGCCAGAGATTGGGTCTTTCCACTGCAGGGGGAAGGGTGGGAACTTTTGATAGTTTTGGCTCACAGGGGACAGGAGCATCTCTTAGAGATGGCAGAGGATGGACAAGTATTCAGGGAATTGACCCCTTCAGTAATGCACAGGGGGCTCTGGAAGAAGGGATATGGCAGTCAGTGGAAATTTTTGCATAAACCAGTGCTTCTCAACCTTGTCACATCGTTGTGTGCACACATGTGTGTCCAGGCATGTAATATTTGCTTAGCGCACTGGAGTAAACAGACAAAGCTCTTAGTAGTAAGTGATAAAGTCATGATTTGAACCTGGGCTGTGTGTTTCCATCTATGCTTTTAGCTAAACTGACAGAATCAGGTAGCTTTGAGAGACATTTAGGTAGTAGAATTGGCAGGGCTTGGTAATGAATTGGATGTAGGGAGTATAGTGGGAGAAGGAGGAATCAGGGAAATCTAGGTTTTTTATTTGAGTACATGGGTGGTTAGTGGTATCATAATCAGGAAATTCAGGAGGAAGAACAAGTTTGGGTGTGGAAAGGGGGATTATTTGTTCACTTTGCTAATTTGGGGGTTTAAGATGCTTGTGGAACCATCCTTGTGGGTGTCCAGAAGGGTCTTGGATGTACAGTTTGGGGCTCAGAAGAGGTGGGTGGGTTAGAGTCAGAGGCGTGGAAGAAACAAATGCGTAAGTGATAGCTAAAGCTTGCAAATCAGGGAGCGAGCCTGGGGAGGATGCTTAGAGCGAAAAGAGGATCTTGGTCTAGGATAGAATCCTTAAAGGGTAGAGAAGACAAGATTGGCTTAGAAGGCAGTAGGGAAGGCCAATGAAGCCTGTGGAAAGAGCACATTGAGAAGTGGAAGTGAGTAGTGGTGTGGTGTTAAGAAAATGAGGACCGAAAAGTGTTTACTGGGTTGGCATCAAGCACGTGCCTGTGACTCTAGCAAGACCAGTTTGGTGGAGTTGTAGGGCCTTGGCCAGATTAAAGAGAGGTGAGAAAGGGGAGGCTCGAAATGTAAACCATTCTCAAAAAGTATGGCGGAAGAGAAAGGGAGGTATCTTTAAACACCTTTTTGTGTATTTAGTTAAATTTTTTTTCTTTGCTGCTTTTCAGGTACAAAATAGATTTCGTAGAAGAGAAGGCATCTCAGAATCCTGAGAGAATAGTCAAGCTACATAGGTAAGTAAAATAGGCTGCTATGTTAATTTAGAGTAAGACCTATTAGCTTTATTGTTAGCTGAGTGAAGTGTATCTTATTTTGTTTTTACTACCTTATTTTCTGTTGCTTTGTTCATTGTTTTGATATGGTGATAAATGGAAGCTTTAAATTATCTTCGGGAGCAGCTATGATTTCTGTTCCTCATTTTATTGTTTGTTATTTTTATTTCAAGAGTTGAAAACCATTGTTTAAAAAATGTCATTTCAAGAGTTAATTTTGAAATTGGGCAAGCTGGTCATGTTATGAATTGAACATTACAGTTCATGTATGTACAGAAATATGAATATTGACTAATTAGTTATTTCTTATGTTACACATAAGTAAGTTAAACTGCTATGTGCTTTCTGACACATGGATGAGAAAGGTACACTGCTTATGTTGAGATCCTTCCATGGGGAGCAAGTTCCAAGACAATGTATTATGCAGAAATGACTTCATGGCCTGGATCTGTTTTCTCAACCTCATGTTTTCTTGATTTGGACTTAACTTTTTTCCTCTAGGAAACTGCTCTTTGTTTCTGGACACAATCCGTTCTACATACTAAATTCTAAACTCTGTTTTAATGGGTCATTATAAGGTTGTAGGTTATCAGTTTGAGGCTATTGGATCTACATAGCATTATATGTTCCATGACTCCTAAGAAATGTTTAGATTTATATCAATGCTAATTCAGAAAAAGGTTCACTTGTAGTGTCTTTACTTGAGATCATTATATCAGGGCTTGTTAGAGATTGAATTGAGCCATATAGAATGTTCTTGATTAGGACTATAGCAGCAAAGACAATGAATAGTTTAAAAAAATTTTTTTTTTCCAAACTATTACAAATGATTTGATGATGAGGTTTTCTTTATTTTAAAAATCAAATCAGAATTGGTGACTTCATTGATGTGAGTGAGGGCCCTCTTATTCCAAGAACAAGTATGTGTTGCCAGTATGAAGTGTCAGCGGTTCACAATCTTCAACCCACCCAGCCAAGTCTTATACGAAGATTCCAGGGTCTCTCCTTACCCATTCACTTAAGGGTAAGTAAAGCTTAAAGTTCCACTTCCAGTTTGGGTGTAGATATGATTCTGGACTTGATTTACCAGTTTGAAGGAGATACATTTTAATTCTCTCTAAGTTGTGTGACACTACAGTATTTTATAAACTCAGGTTTATGATTAAAAACAAATTTTCCTAGGATGTAAACAGGTAATTGTACAGATAAAATTGTACAAATTAAATCAAATTGAGATAGTATTTTTAATTTTTCAAATTAACATAGATGAGGGTGCATTGAGGGGGTATTGGTGTGCATGTTGGTAAGACCTTTCAGGAACACCTTTCGGCCTTACATTTGCATGTTCTTCCCCCTAATTATAGTGATCTGTTCCCAAGACCCAAAGCCTATCACTTTTTACATTGCTCTCACCCCTTGCTAATCCTTTTTTTTTTTATTTAAACTTTTGAGTTTTGAAATAATTATAGTTATGAGAAATAATAAAGAGAGATCCTTTGTACCTTTACCCAGTTTCCCCAGTGGTAATATCTTGCAAAACTAAAATACATTATCACAACCAGGGTATGGACATTGATCCAGTGAAGATACAGAACAGTTCCTTGACTGCAGGGATCCCTCATGTTGGCCACCCTCATTTCCATCCCCTTCTCTCTGCAGCCCCCACCCCCCTGCCTCCTTACTTCTGCAACTACTGATCTGCTCTCCATTTCTTAAATTTTGTCATTTCAAGACTGTTATACGAATGGGAACAAACAGTATGTTTGGAATTTCTTGGAGTTGGCATTTTTCACTCAGCATAATTTTCTGGAGATTTATCCAAGTTGTTGTGTGTATCAATAGTTTATTCTTTTTATTGCTGAGTAGTATTCCTTGGTATGGATGTACCACGGTTGGATTAACCATTCCCCCAATGAAGCACATCTGGTTGTTTCCACTTTTTGGGTATTATGAATAAAGTTGCTATGAAATTTGTGTACAGGCTTTTGTGAATATACATTTTCATTTCTGTGGGATAAACGTTCAGGAGTGCAATTGCTGGATCATATGGTGGGTGTATGTTTATTAGTATTTTAAGAAACTACCAAACTGTTTCAGAGTGTCTGCACCATTTTACATTCTTACCAGCAATGTGCGAGTGATCAGTTTTTTCATATCCTTGCCAGCATTTGAATACAATTTTTAATTTTAGCCATTCTGATGGGTTTGTAGTGATTTCTCATTATAGTTTTAATTTGCATTACCCTATTGGCCAGTGGCGTTGAACCTCCTTTTTTGTGCCTATTTGTAATCTGTATATCTTCATTGGTGAAATGTCTGTTCATGTCTTTTGCTCATGTTCTACTTGGATGGTTTACTCTTTTACAGTTGAGTTTTCAGCGTTCTTTAGGTTCTAGGTTCTAGTCCTTTGCTACATATATAGTCTGCACATTTCTCTGTGTCTGTAGCTTGTCTTTTCATCCTCTTAACAGCTTTTTGCAGAGCAGAAGTTTTTAATTTTAATGAAAGTTTATCTAATTTTCTTTTTTTTTTTTTTAAAGATGACCAGTAAGGGGATCTTGACCCTTGACTTGGTGTTGTCAGCACCATGCTCACCCAGTGAGCTAACCGGCCATCCCTATATGGGATCCGAACCCGTGGCCTTGGTGTTATCAGCACCACACTCTCCTGAGTGAGCCACGGGCTGGCCCTCAAATTTTCTTTCTATGGAGTGTGATTTTGGTGTCAATTCTAAGAACTCTTAGTCTAGCCCTAGATTCTATTTTTGTATTTTTTCCTAAAAGTTTTATAGTTTTACATTTACATCTGTGGTCCATCTTGAGTTAATTTTTGTACAAGGTGTAAAATTTAGGTTGAGGTTCATTTTTTTGCCTATAGATGTCAGATTGCTCTAACACCATTTGTTGGAAAGGCTGTCCTTCCTCCATTGAATTATTTTTGCATCTTTGTAAAAATCAGCTGGGCGTATTTGTGTGGGTCTCTTTCTGGGTTCTGTGTTTTGTCCCATTAGTCACATTTGGCCATCTCTACACCACTACCACACAGTCTTGATTACCATAGGTATAAATAGGCCATGAAATCTGGTAGAGTAATTTCTCCCATGTTATTATTCTTTCTCAAAATTGTTTTAGCTATTCTAGTTTCTTTGCGTTTCCATTTAATTTTAGGGTACTCTTTTCTGTGTTGACAAAATCTTGGCATTCTAGTAGGAATTTCATTAAACCTGCATAGCAGTATAGGGAGAATTGATGTCTTTAATATGGTGAGTCTTCCAATCTATGAACTTAGTATCTTCTGTCATCTCTTTCATTTTGTAATCTTCAGCACACGTCCTTTACATGTTTGATTTTTCTCCACATACCTTCTTCCTTTCCTAGCCGTCTCTGTTTCAGTAAATGGCAACATCATCTACCCGTCTGTTTGAGGCAATCCTTCATTCTCCTTCCCTCATAGCCACGCCCCCATTTCATCAGTCAGCAAGTCCTTTCAACTCTTAACTCTAAAACATAACCTGAATCTACCCACTGCACAGTGTCTCATTTACTGCTGCTTCCTTTATCCATGTGCCTCTTTCTCTTCACACTGAAATTGCTTTCACTCTTGCACTCCACAGTGCATTCTCTACTTAGTAGCCACAATGGTCTTTTTTTTGGGCGGCTGGCCAGTATGGGGATCTGAACCCTTGACCTTGGTGTTATAACACCGCACTAGAACCAACTGAGCGAGCCAACTGAGCTAACCAGCTGGCCCCCACAATGATCTTTTTTTTTTTTTTTTTTTTTTTTTTT